CATAGACTTGGATTACCGTGATATTGAATGGTTTGCCTTGGAAATGAACAGAGATCATTCTGTCATTCTTGAGATTGCATCCAAGTACTGTGTTTCAGACTCTTTTGTTGACTATGATGGCTATTCCATTTCTTCTAAGGGATTCCTGCCCACAGTAGTAGATATAATGGTCATCTGAGTTAAATTCACCCATTCCAGCCCATCTTAGTTCGCTGATTCCTAGAATGTCGATGTTCACTCTTGCCATCTCCTGTTTGACCACTGCCCATTCGCCTTGATTCATGGACCTAACATTCCAGGTTCCTATGCAATATTGCTCTTTACAGCATCGGACCTTGCTTCTATCACCAGTCACACCCATAACTGGGTATTGTTTTTGCTTTGGCTCCATCCCTTCATTCTTTCTGGAGTTATTTCTCCACTGATCTCCAGTAGCATATTGGGCACCTACCGACCTGGGGAGTTTCTCTTTCAGTATCCTATCATTTTGCCTTTTCATGCTGTTCATGGGGTTCTCAAGGCAAGAACACTGAAGTGGTTTGCCATTCCTTTCTCCAGTGGACCACATTCTGTCAGACCTCTCCACTATGACCTGTCTTGAGTGGCCCCACACGGCATGGCTTAGTTTCACTGAGTTAGACACGACTGTGGTCCTGTGATCAGATTGACTAGTTTTCTGTGATTATGGTTTTAGTATGTCTGCCCTCTGATGCCCTCTCGCAACACCTACCGTCTTATTTGGGTTTCTATTACCTGAGACATGGGGTATCTCTTCACGGCTGCTCCAGCAAAGCGCAGCCGCTGCTCCTTACCTTGGACGAGGGGTAGCTTCTCACGGCCGCCCCTCCTGACCTTCAACGTGGAGTGTCTCCTCTGGGCTCTCCTGCGCCCGCGCAGCAGCCGCTCCTTGGAGGTGGGGCTGCTCCTCTCGCAGCCGCCCCTGACCTCGGACGTGGGGTAGCTCCTCTCGGCCGCCGCCCCTGACCTCGGACATGGGGAAGCTCCTCTCGGCCGCCGCCCCTGACCTCGGACATGGGGAAGCTCCTCTCGGCCGCTGCCCCTGACCTCGGACATGGGGAAGCTCCTCTTAGCCGCCGCTCCTGCGCTGTAGCAGCCTGGTGCTCTCGGTCGCTACCCCTAACCTTGGGCGAAGGGTAGCCCCTCACGGTCACGGTTTTGCACTGTCCGTCGCAGCCGGCGCGCTTCTGCATATACTATGCAGTAAACAGCCAACCGACTTTTTCTTATTTGATCTTTATAACTGTGCTATGCTGTAGGAACTACTATAATCCTTTTTTACTGACAAGGAAAGTGAGTCCTACAGAGTTTTAGTAACTTTTACAGTATCACAGAGGTCCAGCTGACCTCTAAGACTATTATGGTGTTAACTTCTATTTCAAGAGATGAGTTTTAAACAATGATGTGATATAGGATAATACATATCTTGATGTCTTAATTAACCAACATTCATGGGACATAATGGCACTAGTTCAGTGGAATGCAGAGGAAAAACGAAGTTTGTCTTCCTGTTAGAAGCAAGCATAAGTTATAGGAATTTTGAATACTTGCTAGCTAACTTACATACTTAAAAATATAAGAAGACTTGAAAAATATATTTTGGCTTTGTAGAGAGCATCTGAACATAAATAATTCCAACAAAATCAGATTAGAAGAGGAATTTTAAAGTACAAAATCTTGACTTTAAAAAAGAAGAGGGTGAAAATGTTACTGAGCCTCAGCTTGGTAACAAATTTTGGTAAAGTCAGCCAGGATCATTGCT